AAATAAAATTTTTTTGGGTTTTTTTGGGCCCTTTTTTTTTTTTTTTTTTTGCTTAAAATGAAGAGCCCAATATTGCATGTAAAGTAAAAATGCCATGTTAAATTTGGTTCAAATCTTTAGGGCGGGATTAAATTTTTATTCGGATTTCGATACATATTTTCACTATCAAGTAGTATGAATTTCTAAGAGAAACTTTCTTTATTACATTTTTCATAATAAATTATTAAAATATTTGAATCTGGCATGGAAAATGACATTTATGACTATGTAAATTATGTTCTAGCATAAATATTGGTAACAAGGACTAAATATATATGGTCCCACTAGTTAATGTTGCTATTATATGTTTATCATATTGTTTTTGTATAGCTCTTCAAGGTTCAACTAAATGAACCATAACAAATTAAAGGAATAAACGGGATTATAATACGGTTGACCTTTACCTCAACCATAATAGAGAGCATATCTATGGAGAAGGACATGGCTTGAAAAGGATTATGATTAATAAAGATCATAATCAGTTTGATTGATTGCTTCTGACAACTTATCAATACTTGTTATAGTAATTAAGTTTGCCGAACCAAAAAATTTAAAAGCTAGATTAAGAGAAAAATAATGTTACTTTACATTGTGATATTGCATACCAAATGAAAGACCTATATGTACCACTCTTCCTTACCTTCCACATCCATCCCTCTCCTCTTTGCTTTGGTATCTTTCTTTTTCAACTCAAAAGCACTTAGAATTTCTCCAAAATTGATTCCAGCTCAAGCACATATTTCTTTTGTGCCTTCATTCAATTCATAAATAGTGATTTCCATAATTCATTTATCAAACAAAGATATTCGCTTGCTAATTACAAGACTGTCATACTCAATTAATTAAAAATAGAATTTCTCTCTCCTACATGATAGGTTAATCTCATATGCTAACTACCGGCATTCTAGAATGTCATGCTCAGTCAATTAAAGATAACCTCTCTCTCTCTCTCTCTCTCTCTCTAATGTCATGCTCAGTCAATTAAAGATAACCTCTCTCTCTCTCTCTCTCTCTCTCTCTCTCTCTTCTATACAATAAACTAATTATCTCATTTGTTAACTAGAGTCTAGAGACATTCTCGGAGGAGGAAAGTTTAGGAAACATAACATTTAGCTCTTGTTCGAGCTCATTTTTATCAAAAACTCAATTTATTTTTTTTTCAAAATTCATTTTCAACCCCACATTTTTCAATAAAATAATTTTACATGTAAGTTGATTTTTTTACCACACGTTCTTCAAAAAATGCTATTCTAAAATACATTTTATCCCCCAAAATGGGGCTCAAACAAAGGCTTAACCCCTCTTTGTTTCTCATTTTTAAAAGAATGAAAAATATAGTCGTTATGAGCCCCACGCAAGAGATAGAAATAGAAATTAAAAGCTTGTGTATGGAAAGAATGTATAAAATGGGGCTCAAACAAAGGCTTAACCCCTGTTTGTTTCTCATTTTTAAAAGAATGAGAATGAAAAATATAGTCGTTATGAGCCCCACGCAAGAGATAGAAATTCAAATTTAATGGTTTGATGTGATGAATAACGGTCATATTTTTCATTTTAATGAGAAAATAATGAGAACCAAACAGGGTCTTAGTCTTATGTATTACATGAGCCCAACCAAACTATATCATGGTCCCACTTGCTTTTAATGCTTATGAATCCATTCTGAGAATTTTTCAGTTTAAAAATTTTCTTATATCAACTTTAAAAAAATAAATAAATGCAATAGTATTTCGACTTTGAAATGACAAAGACGCGCAATATAGAGAATAGAGAATTTAGAGTAGAGTTAAAATTTTGACTAGAAGAAAAGTGTTCCATTAAAGGTGGCTCGTAATCCATGATTCGTGTGTTAATGCATTCAAATTAACAACCAGTTCATGGGAAGAATCGTATTGGCTAACTGTAAGTGTCATAATCAATTAAAGATGGTCTCTCTCTCTCTCTCTCTCTCTCTCTCTCTCTCTCTCTCTGTGATATGATATGCCAGTCCATATGATAACTATAGGCACCCTTGAATGAAAGGAACCGAAGAAGTATAATATTTAAGCATATCTATTGGCAAATCCCCCGAAATACAATAGGGTCCCACTTGCTCTATGAATCCATTGTACGAATATAATGAATTGAAAATATATAATCGAGTTAAAATTTGAATGGGATTCAGATTGTCATGTATAGTGATGACAACGGGACGGGGTGTAATCGAGTTAAAATTTGAATGGGATTCAGACTGTCACGTATAGTGATGGCAACGGGGTAGGGCAGGTGCCCCCGCCCGGTCCCGCCCCGCGCCGACAAGGCAACTTCTTGCTCCATTTGTTGCCCCATTTAATTTTTTTTTATTTTTTTTACATTTTGAAAGTTTCGATTTAATTTATTATTAGAAAATAAAATACAAATTCAAAATAGATTTTTAA